TGGCATAATTTCACCTTTTCACCTCTCCCTTTTTATCCTCACCCAAGGATATGTTTACTGATTTTAAGGAGAGAGAAAAAGAGGAAAGGAGGGAGGAAGGGAGGAAAGGAGGGAGGGAGAGAGGGAGGGAGGGAGGGAGGGAGGAAGAGATAGAGATAGAGATAGAGAGAGAGAGAGAGAGAGAGAGAGAGAGGGGGGGGGGGAGAGAATGAATTTGAGAGAGGAGAGAGAAACACCCACCCACGCATGCCCCAACTGGGGACCAAACCCACAACCTAAATATGTGCCCTGACAGGGAATTAAAACTGCAGCCTTTTGATGTACAGGATGGCACTCCAACCAGCTAAGCCACCTGACCAAGGATTTCCCCCTTTTGATTAGTGCATACAAATATACTCTGGTCAGGCTATGAGTCAATCTTTCTCCTAGTAATAATAAACGTCCTAATTCAGTCTTTGGCCTATAAATCTACAGTAACACTGCCAGGTTTTAATGTTATCAGTATCTTTATCTTCCTTTGCTCCACACTATCATAGATTTTATCTTTTCATTGCCTACTGTAATTTGTTGCTGGAAAAGCGGTTGCTAGTAACTAATATGCTGAAAGATGGTGATTATCTGAAAGGATGGGGGTAAGATCCCCATGATGTAGTGTGTGTATGAGCAAATAAAAGAAGGTGTGTGCAAATAATATGACAGGTCTGAGGGCAATCCTGTAGCCTGATGGAGGTCAAGGATCATGTATGTTCATTGTTACACCACTAGTATTTAACACTGTCCCTAGAACATAAAAAAATATTTAAGCAGCATTTGCTGCATTAATAAATGAAGAATGCTAGTACTCCATGTTCCCACTGGCAAAGCAAGGCTTCCGGGTTAAAAATGAGGTTGGAAGGTCCACCTACTACAATCTGCTATGCATCCAGTGTGCATGGGAGATTTCTATGTACACAGCATCATGCTAGGAGTTGTGAGAGAGGCAAGGAAATTGATCACAAGGAGGGGGGGTGCGGAGGCCTGGGTGAAAGAGGTGAAGGGATTAAGAAGTACAACTTGGTAGCTACAGAACAGTCCCAAGGATGTAAAGTAAAGAATAGGGAATATAGTTCATAAAATTGTGATAACTCTGTAGGGTGCCAGTTGGGGTACTGGAAATATTGAAGGAACACTATGTAAAGTATATGATTGTCTAACCACTAAGCTGTATGCCTGAAACCAATGCAAAATAAAATTAAAAGGGGAAAAAATAAGACTGACAAATCTTTCAGAAAAAAAATAATACAGAAAATTGATTATACAGAACGTGGACTTGAAGCATCCGGTCTAGTTGAGGAGACAAGATATATACATGTGAAAAGTTGACTCCTAATCCTCGAGTGAATAACAGCATGCCAAAGGTAATTTTTCATACCAAATACAACCACTACATGACTTCAGAGAAGGGGGAGGATGCTGAGGACTGGAGCCATTAAGGAAAACTATATAAATAAGACAGGGATTGAGTTAGACCTTCGGGGTAAGAGAGGGGAAGGGAAGGAAATTGCAGTCCGGAGTGGGGAGGAAGGCTGGAGAGGACAAATGAACAATCATCAAGATAAGAATAGATAGTCTGAGACTTGTAATTAAGAAAGCAGTCATCAGACTTGAAAAAACAGAGATGATGACAGAAACATATAGAATAAGAAAGTAGCTAAGTCTGTGCATTTTGTATGATAAACATTTCATACCTAAACTCCTTGGTGGAAAAAAAAAAAAAGTGACTTTGAAACTCAGATACATCCTGTATGTTGCAAACTTGGACAACAGAGGTGGGATGTCAGAGGACCAGGAGGTTGCATTCCCAGAGGCTACCCAGGAGCAGGCACACATGCCTACCTGGGAGGGAGCTGATGTGCCATTTGAAGGGGATGCACCGGCAGAGTGGAGGCCTGCAGAAGTCTTTTGACAAAGGATGCTATGCGGAAGGAATTTATAATTATAACGCAGATTTGACTTTCCCAAAGTCTTACGCGACCTGCTGCACTTTTGTAGCTATTCATTGATTACATAAATTTTCATTATCTTATATATTTAAAGATACAGAAGGGTCAAGGCTGTGTGCACACTTGTTCTGCAAACCAGAACCAGATACTTAAAGACAAACTTTAGAATTTTGCCTTTCAGATTCACACATCAATAAAATCAAGGATAAGAACAAGAGACAACAGGAGAAGCCATAATTGACAGATATTTAAAAATAAATGGGGATCCTTCTTTTCCAACCATGCCTAGGAATGGATGTAAGGAATCTTTATTCAAGTTAATCATAGCACTGTAGAGAAACTATGTGTTTATGTATGCGAGTATGTAGAACAGAATGAGCAAAAAATTTTGTTAAAGCTTTCAAGAAATACTTTGAAAGTTCCTTACATGGATCCTTTAAAACTCCCATTCATTAATGGAATACTGATTAAATAAAAAAAAATTTAACTCTTGAGAATGTTTTCTAAGTAAAGTATGCCTCTATGCATGGATCTATAACTATGGTGCTTTAACGAATGTTAATTATATCCTTTTGATGTCAGCACTGTGTGGCTCTAAAAAGCTAATAAGACCTGCACTACATCATAGTTAATAGAAGTGTGGTGCTTGTTGCTTAGGCAACAGGATGAATAAATGCAGGTCAGAATGTGCTTCAAGAAAAACAAAAGCTAGACTATGATACCGAGTAGACACTGAGCAGATCTAACAGATTTCCTCCACACATTAATGAAATCTGTTTCTTAAAATGGCCTGAGCATATCAGTGTACTTTAACTAAGTTCATAATGAAATAAATTAGATTATGGAAATCAAGAAATAATTTTTATAAAGGCAGAAGTTGATTTTTTTATGATAGTGGTAGCAAATAAATGATAGCAGCATACTAAGCAATAATTGATAACAACCATTTTATGATTTGCTTCCTTTTTATAACTAATTCCTCTAAGTGATAATTCAAAACTTTTAAAATTGATCATGTCCCATGAAGAAAGTATTTGACTTATCTGAATTAACTATGTTTTCTTAATTTCTGGAAAATTATACACAATCCTGGGAATACTTCGAACTGAAAAAATAAAGACAATAATCTACGAAGAAGATCAGACCTTGGTTTTGTTATGTAGGTGCAGGATTTTTGCCTCCCAGATGCATTTTGGAGTGCTCATCCATATTTCATTCATGAATGTTTTTACGATCTCCAAATGCTCGTTTGAAACCTGTTTGATTAACCTTTCAGTTCCAGGCTTTCAAAGAGGGATTATATTTGCTGAAAAGTGTTTAAAATTCAGGGGAAAATTATGCAGAATTAAAATCTTTCAAAGCAGCCAAATATTCCAGAGAACCCAAAAACCTACCTCACTTTTCATGGGACCAGAATAAATTTGGATGAGAGTTTGAGGAGTAGGAATGAGAAAGTCTTATCTCAAGTAGAGATAGGGAGAAAACATACTTATCAAAATGTGAAGTAAACACAAGTATCAACGCAAAGATTTTTCATTCTGTTTGATAGTTCCTCTAATTTCTGGTGTCATCTGTGTAGTATCCTGAATCTGCTCAGTATCCTAAGACTCTCACAGCAATTGAAGAATTTTTTTTTCATATTTCAATGCCCACAGTATCATTCCTGTCTAATTAGTGATGGTATTCTTAAACATGAGGAAAAAAATACAGTAGCTGCACATCTCACTGCAAAAAAAATAAATAAAAGGTTCATAAAGAGTTCAATGTATACAATTCCTTAGAGCTCGTATGCCTTGAAGCAGTTAGTAAGCTTTTTTAAAAAGCTCATGGGGCATACACCTCTTTTTGGAGAAGAGGCAGAAATTGTACACGATTTGAATGATTTTAAAATCTATAATAACAATCAAATCAGGCTTGGAGAAAAAGAATCTCCAATGGAGATAAAAAGACATAACAGGCTCTCTGTGTTTTGTTATCAATTCTGGTGGTAACAAGCCTCAGGTGTTGGCTTCAGCAATTTAATTAGAAATAGTTATTCATTAGTTCTACCTTTGCGTACTACCTGCCTATGTTATGAAGCTCTCTCTCTGAATTTAGGGATAGACAATGGGTGTGATGGGACCTTAAAAGCAAGGTAAGGTAATAAGGACGGTGACGTAGTTTAACAAGGGAAAGTGATGAGCACCGAGGGAAGCATGTAAACGATTAGAAAGCTGGACCGCCTGTCTGCACCTCTCCCTGTCCTCCTTCCTCACCTAGTATATATTCACCGCCGTGAGAAGTTCGCACACGCCACACCGGGTTGAGACTGCATGCAGACCAGTATTCAGTACATGCATGTGCTCAGTCCATTAGTCTCTCCTTCTTAATATTGACAGCTAGCTGATGGAAATGTTTGTTTTTCCCTACAGTAACACACAATGCTTCCATGCTCCTCACTCAGCACGTGTAACTCAGTGAATGCTCTCCATAACGGACAGTCTGAAACAGTTTGCTAAGGAACTAAAAGGTCGTTCAATAACGCAACTTACACTGCCTATCGAACAATGATCAGGAAACAAATGATCTTCACGCTGTCCACATGACATGTTGTCTACCGAACCCCTCACTGCTGATGCTCACACGACAGCCCATGTTTTTAGGCACCCAGGACCCACCGAAGAGGGCACTGATCGACCCAGGGAATTCAGAGGCTGCACATTTATAAAAATCACACAAAGAATGGAAGGGAGGACACACATGTTCGTCTCCTCTCGCTGCCTATAAATAGTCCTCTCACCGGCTCATTCATATCAGACACACGCACACGGATGCCTCTAGATCTCATTTCTCAGCAAGTGTCTGTATGCACACAGTTAAGTTCAGCCCCGAGGGCATCCCCTTTCCCGATGCCGTTACAGATCTAAAACCGACCGGTTGGTTTCGGTGCGCATCGGGCTGCCTCTGAGCCGTGTCAGATACATGAGAAGCAAAGACAGACAAAAAGCAAGCTCTGTGGACACAGAGAGCGCGTCTTACCATGAACTGCACATTGTCAAATCCGTTAGCCATCAGGTGGTTCTCGTACTGAGGTAGCCCAATGCTTTCCAACCATTGTCCCACCGTTTGCACGGGGCATCTGGGTCCTGAAAGAGGATGAAGAGGGAAGCGTTTAAGCAGGGAGTAGCCGTCCACGGGGTAATAGCGGTAGTCCTGGGCTGAGAGGTGGCATTGCCACATCATGCTCCTGGGAAAGTTGCTATCAAAGGAGCCCGCCAGCTTGACAGATTAGCGTTCCCGGAGCGAGAGGAGAGAGCAAAGTCAGAAGTCACACATAGTTTGCCAGGCAGGCTGTGGAGTCTGACTTGATCCTAGCTCCACATTTCTCACATATTCATCTTTACTACCGGCCAGGACGTCACACGGCCCCCCAGCATCGGGCAGCAGGAGAAGGCATCGCAAGCTGTCGGCGGCCGAGGCTGGGTCTGCGTGCTATGTGATTGTTGGAGTACTCCACAATGAGCAGTGTGCACGGCCAGCAGCCAGAATTCTCTTTATCAAGTACTCCTACACTCATCAGTATGCAGCTCCATGCTCCCGGCTCCCCCTCGCTCGCTCCCCTTCATTACCCAGCCCAGGCTACACCTCGCATTTTCAATAATAGCCATCAGATAAGGCAGATTTTTTTTTTTTTGTCTGCAAGCTGTAAGCTGCTTCCTCCTACACACCCATCGAAGCGTCAATCTTGAATGATGAGAGCAGTCAAAACAAATGCAGAAAATAGCAAGATTCAAAAGCAAAGCAAAAGTGCTTCGATCTGGATTGAATCTTCATACCGGGTTATACATTACAGAGCTGTTTGTTGTGGAATTTTACGTTTCAAAAGACGCCAGGAAATGCAAAGCTTTAACCATAGCTTTTAGCAGAGCTCACTACAGGTTCCCTTTCTCCTTTTCTTCCCTTTCCCTTTCTTCTTCTTTTTTAAAAAGGCAGCCCAGATAAATGTTTCTCATTTAAAGCTTTACAATGTTTGGAGAATAATGATCCTCTTTCTTTTGCAGGCTATGTATATATAAAGGAACCTCTCTGAGATCCCTTTTTCATTTTGAATTACTGGAACATACAGAAACTGCATCACAATCTTGAAATCAAGATAATTCCTTTCTCATTTGCATGGCCCCTTCTAAACAAAAACGTTATTAGGCATAAGAAATCCCTTTCCCCTCTGATATGTATAACCCAGCCTACCAGGGTTACCTTCCTAAATGTGCTGTAAAGGTAACATTACTGGGTAGAATTGTTTAATAAAGAAGAGGAGCCCTCACCAAAAATACTTTAAGAATAACAGATGTAAATGTGTGAGTTTTACTGAATGGCAGATAGATTAATTTATTTAATAACTGAGAGAAATGAGAGATTAATAATAGAACCCGGAGGACTAGGTCACCAGAAAGAGCAGACTATTACTTAAGACTGAGAAAGAACTTGCAGAAGGCTAGTCTCACCTCTCCCTTACCACAGAAACCCCTCGTCACAATGTTTCTGGGAGACAATCATCTAATGTATGCTTGAATACTGCCTGTAACAGAGGCCTCACTACTTCTCAAGAAGATTCCATTTATTAGAAAGCTATTTTACTTCCTACCTGACTACCCCCTGGCTCCAACTCTGCCTTTGGAGTCCCCAAAGACTGGGAACAGTGTTTTAAAAATTAAAGATAACCCTCCTCTCCCCTCTCTCCACCCAGGACAGTGCCGGGCACATAGTAGGTGCTCAATAAATATTTGCTGAATAAATGAATATAATTTTTTTCTTTCCCCAAACTTTATCTTTCTCTATTTCCTTTCTCTTTTTAAGAACATTGTCAACCTCCCTGACACACGGACAATAAACCTCAAAGCACCTAGCACACTTTTTCTTTCACTGCGGACACCAGTCCCCAAGTTCCCACCATCCCTCACTACAGTGTCTCTGGCCTCTGCTCCATTGCTTCTATTTCCTGTCCCACGTGAATGGAATTTTGATTGACTTTAATTCTGTGATCTTAGTTCAGGCCACCTGGCCCATGCAAGAGTGGCTTCTACATGGGTCTTCCTACCTCGAATATTTTAAAAATCTATCTTAGGTGTGGGTGTCAGAATAAGTTCTCTAAGATACCTGTTTGATAATTACTTCCTTTCCCAAAACTCTTCCCTGGTTTTCAGCTGGCTTCAAAATAAACTCTCAACTTCTTTGATAACATTTTGGGGCGTCTTTATGATTAATTACAAATAACCCACCTTGATTTCCTTTTCCCTGGGGTACCAGTCAGGTCAAGATTACTGGCTGGTCTCTGAAGGCAGACTAACATACTTCGGTTGGTTTTATTCTGTCCCCACATTTCTGTCCCTTCATTGGCTTTGAATCAGATGGCACTTCCCTTGTGAAATCTTTTCTAATCCCCCTAAGAAGAATGAATCTCTTCCTTATCCGTCTTAAGTAGCATTTTTTAGGCTATTATAACAAATATTTTCTGTCTAACATTATAGTTATTAGCATACAAGACTTGTTTCTTGAATGTAGGAATGTTCTTCCTAATATTGCACATGGTAAGGAATCAGTATGCATCTGCTAAACCAAATAATGTAACTCTCATATCACATAAAATCCCCCTAGTTTTGATTTAAAATTGTATTTTCATTTTGAAATATTTTCCAAGTATCTGAATTCTTTATAAAAGAAAATAGTTGGGTTTCTAAATAGAATTTTCAGGTGAATTTTTATCATCCTCATCCTCTCTTTTACTCTATTAGAATTTATCTCTGATTGGTTATAGACAAAAAAGTTTGTAGCAGTCTAGAAATCAATTATAAGAGATTCTGGTTGCTCAACAGTAATTGTATGAGAACTTAAAAACAAAACACTCTTTGTCCTTGGACAGCTCTAAAGCTGGTATGAGGTATAGTAAAATTGAGTATTAATTGCCATCTTTCCTAGGGTCATATCCATATTGTTCGTCCTGATTATTTAAATTATTAGTAGGTCAATAAACTACATAGAGTGAGAAAACATTGAAATATTATTTTGGCTTGGTAAGACATATGCTGACTGACCAGGTCCTCAAATTCTATCTCATCTCTCTTTCTTAAAAAAAATATTTTTATTGATTTTAGAGAGGAAGGGGAAGGGAGAGAGAGGCAGAAACATCAATGATGAGAGAGAATCATTGATCAGATGCCTCTGATCTGCTGCCCACTGGGGATTGAGCCCTCAACACAGGCATGTGCCCCTGACCAGAATCAAACCTGGGACCCTTCAGTCTGCAGGCTAATGCTCTATCCACTGAGCCAAACCAGCTAGGGCTCTCATCTCTTAAGATGAGTGCCAGGGCTAAAATACAGGGATGAATGTCACATATATTATAGGCATTAAATCCTCTTTGTTAAATGAATGAATGAGTGACAGTGGAAATGACTTTCCTGGTATTTTCATGAAAAGAAAATAGAATCTATCTATCTATCTATCTATCTATCTATCTATCTATCACCTATCTAAAGAGGTTGGGTGTTTTTTTCATGGGCCAGACTGTTGTATAAACACATAGCTCAGAGAGAATACTGCCCAGTCTTTGAAAATCATTATACACACTGATTGAATTTTATTCTTTTAACTGATCATTCATTTTCTTTTTTTTTTCCTTTTTTCTTTTTTAAAATATATTTTATTGAGTTTTTTACATAGAGGAGGAAAGAGGGATAGAGAGCTAGAAACGTCAATGAGAGAGAAACATCGATCAGCCGCCTCTTGCACACCCCTTCCCGGGGATGTGCCCGCAACCAATGTACATGCCCTTGACCGGAATCGAACCTGGGACTTTTCAGTCTGCAGACCAATGCTCTACCACTGAGCCAAACCGGTTTCGGCCTAGTCATTCATTTCTACTCAGTGATTCTCATATGTTGGTGAAAAATTATAAAACAGGAGGGAAGTGAGTTGGGAAAGAATGAGGGAGAGAGGGAGGGAAATGAGAAGAAAGGACCTTGAGCCAAACCTTTAAAGAACCCTGGTCTGGGTCTAAAGATCATTTTTACAATAGTGGCTAAGTATATTCCTCACTTTACTTGAAACACTTTCTTGGAGTCTTAAAATTATTAAAGCATATCAACGCATTATTGGGTATACACCTTTATTCAACTAGAACTTCTCCAAGTCCCAAAAGTGATATAAGAGCAGGTAAAGGAGAAAAAAATAACAGCTATTTTGTGCTACTCTGTCCTGAGCAGTGTAGCATGGATTATGATCCCCATTTATAGATAAGGGAATTGAAGCTCAGGGTGTGTGATGAAGCTAGGAATTTTCTTTGACACAGTCTTTCAAAAAATAATCCTTAGGGTTCCACTTCCAGAATGACAATGTAAAGATGCTCCATGGACCCTATCCCAAGCCAAACAAATATCCTATATAATAAAAGGCTAATATGCTAATTGACCAAATGGTGGAACTGCCAGTTGCTATGCACTGACCACCAGGGGGCAGATGTTCAATGCAGGAGCTGCCTCCTGGTGGTCAGAGGTCTCCCACAGGGGGAGCACCACTCAGCCAGAAGCCAGGCTCATGGCTGGCGAGTGCATTAAAGGTGGCAGGAGCCTCTCCCATCTCTGCGACAATGCTAAGGACCCCTCAGGGGATGTCTGACTGCCTACTTAGGCCCCTCTTGCAAGAGGGCACAGGCTGGGCTGAGGGGCCCCCTCCCCAGTGCACAAATGTCACAATAATCACAATCATTTAGAGTCTCTGGAAATTGTTTCAAAACATACAAGAAGATGAAGAAATATTTATTAAAGAAAATTTATGAAAACATATAACAACAGCCGAAACCGGTTTGGCTCAATGGTAGAGCGTTGGTCTATGGACTGAAAGGTCCCATGTTCGATTCCGGTCAAGGGCATGTACATTGGTTGTGGGCACATCCCCGGTAGGGGGTGTGCAAGAGGCGGCTGGTCGATGTTTCTCTCTCATCCATGTTTCTAGCTCTGTATCTCTCTTGCTTCCGCTCTGTAAAAAAATCAATAAAATATATATATATATATTTTTTTTTTTAAAAGAAAACATGTAACAACAGAGAGAATCTAGGGCCCTGGAGCCATGACATGTTCCCTCCATCCCT